GTGGGCGAGTTCCTGTGGAGGCTCAAACTCTCAGCTATAGCCCGTGGAGCCTGTCATTTCCCTTCCCCCGCCGCCCCGCCGGGAGGCAGGGGAGTTTCATCACAGCTGAGTTGTTGACCTTATAAGGGAAAGGCCTCCGAGCCTCTCCCCGGGGCCCTGGCTGGCTGGTGGAGAGCCAGGCCCTGCCAGGCCGCAGGGTATCCTCCAGGTGCCAGGAAAGGTGGGGATGCCCCAAGCACCAAATCCCTGGGTTAAGTCTCTATCTGAAGTCACAGACTCTCCACAGAAATAGCAGGAAGCAGTCAGTTGTGGCCCCAGGCCAGGACCCCAGGGGGTCAAACCCAGGTCCTGACACTACACTTTGGTCTACTAGGCAAGATGCTTAAGCCTCAGTTTTCTAATCCATAAAATGGAGCAAACATTATACCTTCTTCGTGAGGTCACTGTGATGACAAGGAGACCAACAGGCCTGGCAGATAGTGGGTGCTCTGTGAAGCCAGGCTGCTGGAGCTTAGTGATCATTTTCTATGAGGCAGGCTGTGGGCTATGTGTTCCCCAGCAACCCTGTGAAGGAGAGCAAATCGGTCCATTTCACAGGAAAAACTGAGCCAGTTTGCCCAAGGTCACTCATGGGGTTTGAATCTAGGTATGTCTGCCTCCAAGTCTAAGGTCATGTTTTTTCTACTTATACCCTGCTGTTTCCTCCAGGGATTTTGTTTTTTAATAAAATGATGACAATAGGGAGGAATTTCTGCCATCACCTCTCCACCCTCCATGTTCCATCATAGAGTCTCCTCAGTCGCAAAACCTCCAATCGGGTATCTACTTATACCCTGCTGTTTCCTCCAGGGATTTTGTTTTTTAATAAAATGATGACAATAGGAAGGAATTTCTGCCATCACCTCTCCACCCTCCATGTTCCATCATAGAGTCTCCTCAGTCGCAAAACCTCCAATCGGGTAAGTTCATGTGGTCTTTCCTGACAGCCCATTTGCCTGGGACATGAGAGTAGGGGCAGGGGAGGCAGGAAAGCAGGACTTGGAGGGCACAAAACATAGGGGCTCCAGAGACACAGGATGCTTCCAGGACCCAGACAAGCCGGGTGCCCCATCTCTACCAGGCCCTCCCCCTCTGTCCTGGGTCCTGTCTGAAGGTGGCCACCTTGCAGTTTACAAAACCCTGCACTGTAACTACTCACAGGACTTTGGGCCACTGAGATAGTGCAGAGAAGGCAGGCTTGCCTTCTCTGCGCAGGATTCCAACCTCCAAGACCAGAGAGAAAGAAACCTTACCACATCCTTCCTCTGCCCTGTGGCTGGCCACCAACACCATCTCAGTAGCTGTTCCCTTCAAAGTGGCCCTCCAGAGGGGACCTAGTTCTTGGGTTGGGGTTAAGGGGACACTCCCATCAACAGAGACTCCTCTCAGATTAACAGACCTGTGAAGGTGAAGTGATTTGCCTGAGGTCCCCAGCTTCTGCAGGCCACTCACTCAGTACGGCTGTCACATGCCAGGCCAATGGCAGGGGAATTCAGGAGGGACACAAGGGTCATAGCTACAATTGATAGGCCTTGGGTCAGGTGCTTCCTGTTGTGATGGCCACTGGGCCTGGCCAGTGGCACTCACAGAGGGGAGGAAGGGAGCCAGCCTTTGATGAGCACTGCAGTGCTCTCCCACACAGGGGAGCGAGGGCACTGTCGTCCCCTTTTGTGGGTGAGGAGATGGACGCTTCCTGAGACTGACACTCACCTGATGCCCGTAGGTGAGATCTGAACCTTGGCAGCCTGACTTGGAGCTCTGCCCACTTGCCCAGGGTCTTCCCAAGAGTGCTCAGGGAAGCCCCGGGGTTCTTCTGAGATGTGTCAGAGGGCCAGGCTCACTCCTAACCGGGACCAGGCTCTGAGGATAAAATAATGGCTGGAATCATCATTTCGGAGCCATTATAGGAAATGCCTGTACAGCAAGAACCATCAATGGGTACAAGTCTGGGGGAAATTGTGTTGAGGTGCAACATATTTGGGCATGGTCTTCAGATGTCTCCCACAGATTGATTAGTAGTTACAAGAGAAAAGAAAATTATGCAGTAGAAAAATCAGACCCCTTGCTCAGGTGATCAAAATGACCACCAGGTGGATGTCGTATGTCTCCAGATGTGATACCCTAAGGAAGACACAATGTCACCCATGCAGTTTTCTGGCTGAGAACCCATAACCTCAATTTAATCATGAGGAAACCTCAGACAAACCCCAAACAAGGAATGGTCTACTAGAAAAGAGGACTGTATTCTTAAAAAATGCCAATGTCATGAAAGAAAGGCTGTGGAAATGTTTCAGATTAAAGCAAACTAAAGAAAGATGACAACTGTATGCGATACCAAACCCTAACTGGAGGAAAATCACTAACGCACGTTATTGGGTCAAATGACTAAACTGGAATATAAATAATAAACTGCTGTATTGATGACAAATTTACTGATGTTGATAGCTGGACTACGCTTACATGAGAGAATACACTTCTTTTTAGGAAATACACGCTGACGTATTTCGGGGTAAGGGACCATGATAACTAACTTTCCAATAATTCAGAAATAAATGTATGTGTACATGCAAAAAGATAGAAAGTGCTCAAAAGATAAGACAATGGGTTGGTAGGGTAAAGAGTATATGTGTGTTCTGTACTATTCTTATTCTTGCGACTTTTCTCTAAATTTGATATTATTTCCAAATAAAAAGTTTTCAAAAACTGTAAAGCATTGTTCCTTATGACATCTCCCCAGCCTGCAGAAACACTGGAGGGTGGGGGGTGAAATTGGAAGGGTCTGGCTGAGTTTAGCAAGGATGGAGCACTGGGAACAGCCAATGCCCCCAGCCCAGCCTATGGAAAGGGGGTCTAGGACCGAGTTTGGGGGACTGGTGATGCCACTGACCAGATGTCACCTACCCTCTGCTCCATGGCGGCCAGCCCTGGAGCTAGCCTCCACACCAACAAACAGGCTTGGCACAATGAAGTTCCATAAAAAGGGATTTATTGCCAAACTTCAAGAAAGGCGCTTCATCAGCAGAAGACACTGAATGCCATCCTCCTCAAGGGGGCACGCAAGGCAGCCCCTGCCTATTCCCGCTCCCCTTTCCCCTCCCCTGAAGCCGGCTTCCCCCTTGGGCCCAGGTTACTAAGGCCTGGGGATCCCATGGGAACCAATGGCATTTAGCCACAGAAGTGGCCCCAGAACTACTTGCCCAGCCTGGTCACTTGAGAGAGGAAGAAACTGAGGCTCTAATTCCTAGAAGCAAGTGACCTGGCCAAAGCCCCAGACAGCCCTGGCAGCTGGTGGAGGAAGGCTGTTCCCTAAGGAAAGAGGGCAGGGATCATGTGGCAGTGGGCACCTGATGCCGTTCTTGCTCTTGTACTGGAGACAGATGAAGGAAAAGGCAGACTGTGGCATGAGAACCCAGTTTGTCCAAGGAGGGTGGTCTGGGGAGACTGAGGGGTCCTCAGAAGCCATGGCATTGATGCCCACTACTGTCCCTGCCTGGTGCAGGCCAGAGCAGACATCTGCCCTTCCTGAACCCTGCCCACCACCCCCAAAAACAAAGTGACAGTACAGTAATGAAGGCATTGACCTGCGCTGGCAGGCCTCAGTGGGCATGACTGGTGACTGGGGGTGGGCACAATGGGCAGAAAGGCCAGGGCATGCTGCTGTGACCCTCCTGTCTCTTTCAGTAAACAAAAGTGCACATGCAGAAACCTCCTGGGCAGGTCCTGCTAGAGGCTGCTCCCATCCCCACAGGTTCCAGGGAGAATGTCTGGGTGTGGGGGCTCTGCCCTCAGTCCAGCTGCTGCAGCGGGGTGGACATTGGATGTGCTCCCAGAGCCAGGGACAATGGGGGACAGGAGGAGGAGAGAGGACCAGGGCACAGGAATGGACCAGGACAAGGAAAGGAAAAAATGCTCCTTCCTCTAGGAAGTTAAGGAGGAGACACCCATCTGGGGCCCGAACCAGAGGGATGGAGGGAAAAGCAAAGTGGTTTCAGAACCCAACATACCCCCATCAGCATTTGAAGCAATGATGGTGATACTGGACCTGTTTAGGCTGAAGAGGAACCACAGAGACCCAGCTAAATCCCACCTGGGAGACACAGAAGTTGGGGGGATTCTCTTCTGAAGGTTGATTTATCACAGGTTTTTCTGAGGTTGACACTGGGACCACTCTGAGGTTTGCCTCTTCAGGAATGTGCAAGGCTGGACCCGAGGTGGTCCAGGGGCAGGGACTAGACTAGGAGACCCTTTGAGTCCCTCTTCTACCCTGGAATCCTCCAGCTCTAAGCCCTCTAATCATAGCTCACCAGAGAGGAAGGGACTGCAGGAAATGCCCTGGTTTTGCAGAAAAGCAAACAGACCCAGAGAGGGGCCACACAGCAGATGGCCTCCTCCCACAGATGCTTTCCATCTGCCTCAAGAGGCCCTAGCAGGGTCCAGGTTTCACCCAGCTGAGGTACAAACCTATAGCCTGGACCCAAGGCCTCTGCAGCTACTTGGAATAGGTGGGAGGGGGCTGGCTATGGGGCTGCCTCTGCCTCTCTGCTTGGGAATATCGGACGGAAATGGGGACTGTAGGGAGGCTCAGCTGTGCTCTATTCAGAAGTCAAGAATGTAAACTACTGGAGGTGGGGAGCAGAGATGATGCCACCCTCAGAAACCCCAAGTGCTGCACCAAAGCCCTGAAGCAGTTTGGAACAACCTCACAAGCACATAGGTCCCAAGTGTGTGCTCCCAGCCCAAGTCCAGAGCTCAGGGGATGGGCCAGAGAGCCAGACAATGGCCCTGGGTGGCACCTGGCACCACTGGCCAGGGCAGTGCAGGAAAAACACCAGGAGTCTCTTCAGGTCAAACCCTGACATGCCCAGTGGTCCTTCTACAGCCTGAGCAGAAGGACCTTTCTCAGCAGGGCTGGGCTTTGATGGACAGGTGGCCAGGAGGGACCTCACCCCAGCCCCGCAGGCCTAGGGTGCACTTCTCCTGTAGAGGGTCGCCAGCTCCTTCCGCTTCTCCCTCAGCCCAGGTGCTTCCTGGCTCAGCTCTCCCAAATCTCGCATTTCTTGCAGGACCTGGGTGGCCTGCCTCAGCTGCTCCACAGCCTGGCTGAGCAAGGTCTCGGCGCTCACAGGGGCCGGCTCACTGCTCAGCACCTTGTTCAACAGTTTCTCCGTCTGTTCTGAGGCCACCTTCACCTCCAGCTGAGCCCGATACAGCCGTTCCCTGGGCTGCCTTGGACGCCGGGGGCCTTCCCCAAGCAGGTCTCCAAGGGAAGAGCAGCGTGGATGGAGCTGAGGTGGCAGTTCCCAGAGGGGCTGTGCTGAGGATGTGGCCACATCCTTTGGGGGAGTTCCTGGGATGCCTGCAGCTTGGGATGGCTTGGCAGGCTCAGGACTGTCATCGACGCCATTCACTGAAACCTGTGCTGAGCCTGGGGCAGAGGTCTCAGGGGCCCGAGGATTCTGGACTGGCCCAGAAGCCTCCATCCCACTCATGCAGGTTCTCAGTTTCTCTGATAAGATCTTAGGTGGAGGTGTAGGGGGCTTCCCACCCTCCCTGGGGACAGCCTCAGAAGTCTCCAAATGGGGTACCTGGGACGGTTCTGCTTTCTCTGGAGCAGAGGGCTCCTCAGGGCTGGGGTTTTCCCAGCTCACCTTCAGTCTGTCAGGCAGGATGCTGTTGAGGAGCTGCTCAGAACCACTGTCCTCCCCTGCTGGGGTCTCTGAGTCCCCTTGGATCTCAGGGTGGGCCTCAGGGCTTGCTGAGACAGGGGTTGGGGCTCTCTGCATGCCGTCACCAAGGCTGGTCGTCTCAGGCACTGGGGAAGACTTGGCAGGAGGCATGGGGGGCCGGGGTGTCTCCCGGGGCTGGGCTGCACTGACATCATTGCTTGGGGCAAACATGGGTGGCCCACTATCTGGAACATCGAGGTCCAGGCGCAGAAGCCCATCAGAAGCCGCACTTGCGACCTGGTGGGGGGACAGCATATGGGTGTCATCTTGACTGACTGACCATTGGGTCAGGTGTGCCCACCTACAAGCGTTCTCAAGCCCTCCTCGCCAGGCTGCCCAGGTCCCCAGTCCCCCGCCCCCTACATCCTCTGCTCTGGCTTCCAAGGCTACTGGATCTGAAGCTGAAGGAGTATCCTGATGAATCCTCTCCTCTCCCTCACCCCAGAATTCCCTGTTTTGGAGTCATAGGCCAGGAAGTCAGAGCCAGGGTGTCCTCTCGGAGTCCCAGCCTGGTTTCTTCCAGCTGGTGAGAGAGACCACTCTTTTTAGTAGCAACTGTGATGGCTTGAGTGGCAGGGGACGTGGCTCCAGCCCTGTTTCTGACCCCTACCTAGCTGTATGGCCTTGGGAGGGTCGCTCATCTGCAACCCACCCACCCCCCACCATGCCCAGGATCCCCACAGCCAAATGATGACAGGACAAGGAGTCAAATACAGGTCTCCCGAGTTGTCTCAAGCTCACTCGCTTCTGCTTGCCCATCCTGGAGACCTCTGTCTGATCTGCCAGCCCCTCTCCAGCCCCTGCTCAGCTGCTCAGCAGCCTGTGCCTGCTCTCCTCGCATCATCAGATGTGGTCTCAGGGCACAGTTGACTGCCAGAGGAGAACAGCCGCACCAAGCAGGCAACTGTCCCCCACCCCCAACAAGCTCCAGACACCTGCGGGGACACCCAGCAGCCCCACAGTTATGGGGACCCTCCCAGACGCCCCGGAGAAGGACTGGGCAGGTGGCTTTTCCAAGATCCTTCAGATAGTTAGGGTCCTGGCTGGGACTCTCACTCCCTTTTACATGTACCAATGATCTGGCTGACATATGCTTCAGTCACTGGGGACCACCACAGAGACACCCCACACACACACACACACCTCCTCCTCCTCCTCAGAGGGCCCTTCCCTCCAAGGCCGGCCCTGCCCCAGCCTCCACCCTCAGGCGTTCCTTTTCTCTCTGGCCACTTCGATCCTTTCCTCTGCAGGCTCCTTTCCCTCAGCTGACAGACAGGAACAGGCTGCCTCTTCTCAAAAACAAACCCTCTGATGACCTTGGGTCCTTCCCTCCCATGATCCCCTCTTCCCTCCAACATCCCCAGCTCTGTACCCCACGACAGCCCTGAGCTGACTCCTCTTAGAAAAATCTGCTGCAAAGGTCACCACCTGCCTGTTCCTTAGTGCTGCCCTTGTGACTTGTGGCTGCCAAGCTGGCTGGTGGCCCCTGGGTCCCGTGCCCATCTCTCTCTGGCTCCCTCTTCCTTGGCTCCTTGCTGGCTAGCCCCCTCCAACCCCCACACACAGCATTTGCTGAGGTTCTTTCCTGACTTCCAAAACCTCTCCCCTCATCAGCTCCACTGGCCTGAAAAAGGCTCCTCCCTTCCCCCTCCCCCTTGCACATACCTCCTCCCAAACTCCCTGTGCTCAGGGCCTCCATTCGCCCAGCCTCCAGGCTTGGGCTCCTCTGACAGCCTTCCTTTTCTGTCCAATCCCCATATTCAAACAGAATCCCAGGTGGCTCTTGCTTCCCAATGTCTCCCCATCCCCTTTTCATCCCCTCCTGGACCCTAGAAGGCCCGCCTCCCTCCTCTCCTTCTCCACCCCCACACCTTTCTCTCTCTCAACCCAACCCACCTTACCCAGGGCCTCACACTGACCTCTGCAACGCTCCCTTCCATCCTGTTCCCAGCTCCTGACTTTAAGACCTCTACAATTTCCTCCCCCAAACCCCGCCTTCCCAGACCAATCTCCCAAGCTCTCAGCACACCTTGAACCATCCTGTTCCGTGACTCCACTCACACCATTCCCTCCACTGGGAATACCCCACTCCAAGTCTGCCAACAGAAATCTTTCCTGTCCTCCAAGGGTCAGTTCAGATGCCAGTGGCTCCTTGTGGTCCCTCTTGTCCTGACCTCCCAGTGCCCTCCTCTAGTACTAAAACTAGACACAGCTCTGCCTGGGACAGTGTGTGGACAGGTCTGTTCTCCAGCTGGAGACTGAGCTCTGAGGGACAGGGACTAGTCTCATGGGCCTCAGTTTCCCTCTGCCACCAACTCTGGCCAAGAACTGTGTGTGGAATCAACGAATGAAAAAGGCTACGTATGGGCTCAGGGACATCTACATCCTGAGCACATATAACACAGGTGCCTCCATCACACTTCCTGCATACCACTCAGGAAGCCCCAACACCCAGTGTCCTCAGGAAAGCAGTAGCCCCGAGCCTGGCTGCCACATTAAGGAGCTGGGGTCCCAGGCTCACCCGACCTCCCACTGTCTGAGCTGGGGAAAAGGCCTTACCTCCTTCAGGTGGACTCTCGTTGGTGGCCGGCGCCGTTGGCCCCCCCGCACCCGGTCCCGGGTCACATGCTCCAGGGCACAGCTCTTGTCTACCTTTACCTGAGAAGGAGAGGAAACCAGGTCAGCCCCCACTAAGCCTCAGAGAGAGAGAGAGAAATACCCAGGCATCAACCTGACTCAGAGGCATGGTCAGCACCCCACCATTCTCTCTCTTTGAGGAGTCTCCCTGGTTCTCTCCATGTCCCTGCACTGCCACTGGCGGTCTCTCTGCAGAGCCTGAGGCTCTCCCTCTCCCTGCAGCTGCCCTCTTTGCCTCAGTCTTCCTGCTCAAATATGGGCTATCAGTCCTTGCTCCTCAGTCTACTGCAAATATATAAGCAACCCTGAGGCAGCTTCGGGGCTCAGTGGGAGGAGGGGAGAGAAGAAAGCCCACAATTCCCTGGGAGAAAAGGTCTGTCCTGGCCTCTGCCACTCTCCCAGGATCCCTGGGGATAGCCCAGGCAAGAGCAGGAACTTTGCCCTTGGGCCTGGGTGTCTGGAGGGCAGCATCTCCTCTCTGAGGGGAAGGAAAGGGAGTCAGGAATAGCTGGGAAGCCCCAGAGTAAGACTCATATAGGAGATCTGGACTCTAAACGCTGGAGTGGCCTGTCCCTATGGTGGAGAGTAGAGTCTCAGGCCCACCTGGGGGGCCAACTCTCTCTGCTCTTCAGTAGGAGTGGACCCTGCTCTGCCCAGACTGTGGGCTAAGGCCCAGCCATGGCTCCTGGCCTTCCCCAATCGCCACATTATGTCCCATCCTCCCTCTCCCACAAAATGGGAACACTTTCCCTAGGTAGCGAAGGGCTGAGCATGACACCTTGTTACATAGGACACAACATAGGAGCCATGGGCTGCGAGTCAGGGAACCTGAGGGTTAAGAGGGAAGTTGCTTGGGAAGGTTCACTCCCCTCAAGCCTCAGTCTTCCGCAATCCAAGAAGACTCTCCAGGTGGCCCTCATGTCCATTTTAGCCCAAATAGCTAAGGATCCATGATGTCAAAAACAAATCCTCCCTAGGATATCCTGGCCCCATGGGACACCCTGCCTGCCCCAAGCCTAATCGTGGTCACTGTTGCTAGAGCCACCACTACACACAGGGAGCTGAGATCTGCAGGGCCGAGGGTCACTGCAGACAGATAAGGAGGCCTAGGACTGGGAGTCAGGCCGGACTTGATGGGCAAACCGAAAAAGGAGCTCTCTACTCACCTCCCGCCCTCTCCAGCCTGGACCCACAAGCTGTTGTCAGCTGAGGCTGGGGTGGAAATGATGTGCAGCTGCCACCAGTTAAATTCTACCCCACCACTTACCTGCTTTTTAATTTAAGACAACTTACTTAATTTCCTTGTGCCTCAGTTTCATCTATAAAATGCAATGCCACCACCTACTTTGAGGGGCTATTGTGACAACAGCAGATGCCCCAACATTTGTAGCAGTGACATAATTGAGGGGTTGTCAGGGATGAGGTGGGGCAGGGTCCTCTCCTAGTTCACACACGGTGGAGAAGGGGACATAGAGTCCACAGGACTGCATTGTACCTCGTCAAAAGCCTTGTTCTTGCCTCGGTTGATCCCTTCATTGAGAGCTTTGATCCAGGATTCCTTCTCCTCCCCACTGGGAGCCTGAAATTTGATGTCGCTGACCTGTGGAGGAGACAAGTGGGATGGACAGCATTAACAGGGCTCATATTTGGGGTCTTACTTCCCACCCCAGATCCTAAAGTCAAACCAAAATGACCCCTAGAACAGGTCTTACACCAGGCTTAAGGGCAAGGGAGGAGAAAGATCCAGCAGAAAAGGGGCTCTCCCCCAGCATGCAGCTGCCAGAGGCTTGGATGAGAATCAGCCTTGCACTGTGGAAACAGTCCAGATCTGGTCCAACTCCACTGGACTCCTCCAGGTCAGCTGCCTGATCTCTGGGCTTCAGTTTTCTTAGTAAAGTAAGAACAGTCTCAGTCTACAGTCACACCAGGCTGAATATAATGACAGAGGTGACAGACATGAGGGCCCACTGGACCCAGGGCCACCCTCAGCTCCCCACTGAGTCCCACGCCCAGCCCTGGCCTCAACTAAAAATATTTCTGGACTCGTAAAGCCCCAGGGTCTCCTTTCTGGCTTTCAATCATGGACTGTAAAAGAGAAAGGCATTGTGGGGGTCAATTCCAATCTCATTATACAGATGAAGAAACTGAGGCTCAGCAGATGGGATGGAACTCAGCCAAGGTGAACTAAAGTACATCCCATGACTCCTGACTCCCCACTCTTCACCTGCCCATCTCAGGCAGGAGCTCTGAGCTCCTATGTTAGAATCAGAGGGCAGCTCAGAGAGGCCTGTCCCCTCCAGGCCCAACAGCCAGCCAGGAAATGAGAGGAAGGAGGAAGGCCATGCAAACTGAGGGGCTGCCTGGTGTGGTAGACAGAATAGCAGAGCTCTGAGCTGGACAGTCCACCACTTACAGCTGTCTGAGCCTCAGTTTCCTTATCTGTAAAAGACAATACCTCCACAACCTGCCTCAAAGAGCCATGAACATTTAAAAAATAATGTATCCAATTTGTGTATCCATGTTTATAGCAGCATTATTCATAATAGCTAAAATGTGAAAGCAACCCAAGTGTCCATCGATGGATGAATGGATAAGCAAAAAGTGGAGTATGCATACAACAGAATATTACTACTCAGGGCTGGCCAGTTAGTGCACTTGGTTAGGGCATGGTGCTCATAACACCAAGGTCAAGGGTTCAGATTCCCATACTGGCCAGCCACCAACACAAAATAAAAACAGAAATATTACTCAGTAGCCTTAAAAAGGAAGGAAATTGTGACACATGCTATGACATGGATGAACATTGAGGGCATTATGCTAAATGAGATAAGCCAGTCACAAAAAGACAAAGACTGCCTGATTCCACCTATATGAGGTACCCAGGGTAATCAAACTGATAGAGACATAAAGTAGAATGGTGGGTTCCAGGGGCTGTGGGGAGGGAGAATGGGGCATTACTGCTTAATAGGTAGAGTCTCAGATTTACAAGATAAAAAGAGTTAGGGAGATGGTGGTGATGGGAGCAGAACATCATGAATGTATTTAATACCGCTGAACTACTCTTAAAAATGGTTAACATGGTAAATTTTATCTTATGTGTATTTGGCCACAATTTTTAAAAATTGGGGGAAAATGATGTATCTAAAGTGCTGATGGGGTCGGCCTGTGGCTCACTCAGAAGAGTGTGTTGCTGATAACACCAAGGCCACGGGTTCGGATCCCATATAGGGATGGCCGGTTAGCTCACTGGGTGAGCATGGTGCTGACAACACCAAGTCAAGGGTTAAGATCACCTTACCAGTCATCTTTAAAAAAAAAAAATAATAATAAATAAAATAAAGTGCTGAATCTGCAGCTGAGCAGAGTGAATGCTCAGGAACAGGAATAACACCGCTGCCTTCCTTTTGGACAAAACAGTCCCAGTTTCCTCATCCGTAAAATGGAATGATACTGCCTACTATAAAGCAATGCTGAGGGAATTAAATATGATGAAAGCCAGGGCCTGGCGCATAGTAGATACTCAGTAAACAGTTACTGAATGAATGAGCCAATAAATGAATGAACCGGCTCAAGGTTCCTTCCCTTGCCCTGGTGTTGGACCGCTGCCTCCTCTTTGACCTCAAGATGTCCTAGTTCTTTGTTGGCGGTCGCCAGCCTGCCCATCCCCCACCCTGGTGTTAGATGGCGCCCTCCCTCCCGCCACTCTCCCGGTTATGTAACACTGCAGCAGTCGCCTGGCCCCTCAGCATCCTCATTATATAACTTCCTCCTGGCGGCTGCTGCTGCCTCCTCTCATACAAGGCCCTGGGTCCCACCCACTCCCCAATGCCAGACACAGCCAAATGTTCATTTGCATGACCAGGGTAAATTCGATCCTGGCAGCAGATTTGCAGTTAAGTCAGAAACCCAGGGCACCCTGGCAACTGTCTCTCAGTCTAGCCATCAGGGCTACTGGGGGCTCAGGGAGAGACCACACTGCACCCAGGGTCTGCAAAGGCAACCCAGTCCTGTGATGGGAACTGCCAAGCAGGGGGTGTGGAGCCAGCCTCTCTGACCCCAGCTGTTGCTCCTGTTCACAGGCTGCAAGCTGGGGGGCCCCCTGCCTGGTGCAGAACTTAGCATCCCAGAGAGCTTGAGAAGCACACAACTGAGTGAGTAGCCAATGGAACTACTGAGGGGCAGAGCAAGAGCCTGGGAGTCAGATCGCCAAGTTCTGCTCCCTCCACTATTCTGGGCCTCAAAGGGACAAGAACAGAACACTTGGACCCAACTCAAGCTTCGGCCCCTTCCCCACTGGCCAGCCCACCTGAAGCAGACTGCAGGGAGGGTGGTGGCCTCTGACAGCTTCTGCTACCCTGGGAGAGAAACAGCTTCAAGGAAGACCTACAATGCTGGCCAAAGGGCTCCCATAGGTTATATGGGACCCAGCCCTACCAAACATTCCACAAGGATGATCAGAATAGGGACAATTAGAATCCAAGAAACTACACCTCTGGCCCTACCCCCACCTGCCTACTGAAGAGCCACAGGCTGCACAGGTCACACCACAAGTTATTCCAAGAAGCTGCAGGGCCATAGGCCCTGCTAGGAGCTTAGATGCCACAAAGACTGGCAACAGAATAGGCCGACAAGGCCTGCGAAAGGGGAAAGGACAAAATGGCAGAGAGGAAAAAGGGTGGAGGGAAAAGAGGAGGCAGGAAAGAGGAAAGGGCCAAGCTGGCCAAGACCGGCAGGGCAGCAAGGCCCAGCAGTGGCCACCCAGCTTCCTGGCAGCGTCCGCCTGTGACCTCATGGGCAGGGGTGTGGAGATGGAGAGGCAGGGGGAGAGGGGTATGCAAGACACTGGAGTCTTTGTTTATTTGATTAGAGGGGAAAAAAAGGCGGCCTCAGGACCAGACAGCCGGGGTCATGTGACCTCCCTGAAGGCTGGAGGCCTCACTGAGGATGGGGAACACCCAGAGCGATAAGAAGGGAGGGCGACAGGATGGAGGGGGATGTGGTGCTCTGGGCCAGGGCCACCATCTGACCTCTGGAGAGCCCCCACTCTCTGGGTGAGTTCCTGGGGTGGCGAGGGCCATTGAGCTGGAACCAGGGTGTGTTGTTCTACCCTGCAGCCCCCACTTGCTCCACAGCACTATCTCCCGATTGATTGTCCTGATCTCAGAGTCACCCAGAGCCAACCTGAACTCTTGGCAGGGCTGGGGGCTGGGAGGGAGGGTGTTGGACGAAGCAGTGGAGAATGCAGCTGCACAAACATGCCTCTCTGAAGTGATGTCCCACCCTGAGCTGGGCCCAACCCACCTAGTCCACCACCAGCTGATTCTCAGAGCTGGCTAAGGGAAGTGGCCCACAGACCAGCACTGGCAGAGGACAGAGGCAAGACACCCTTCCACACCACATCCACATAAACACACTAGGAGACACACACCCAGACAGACCCACGGCCAGGCGAATACTCACCTGCCTACAAAGAAGTGCACACATAGGCCAGACAAATAGGGTCAGACCTTCACATGAAATGCACTTTGCATCTCTCTCAAACACACATACAGCACCCACTCAGAGAGGAAGCGGGCTCCAGACCAGGTAAGGGTACCAGGGCATGAAAGACCACAGTGTGACTTTCCTTGTCCTCAAAGATCCCTAAGCAGGAGATGTCAAGTGAAACCTGGGCCCAGCCCCATGAACCCTCATGACACTATAAATCTGCCCCTACTGTGGGGTACATCCTCCAGCTCCCCAGTACCAGAGCTCCACAGCCCCCTCCACTGTTGTCTTGCTTCTTTGTCCCCAGCCCTTGCAGAGTAGGACAAAGGGTTAATGAGTAAAGTATCATGGTCTCCTCCAAGGTCCAGGGCCCTGGGGATCACAGAGGACTGGATTCCTGGCCCCTAGAGCTAAGGCAGAAACAGAATGGCTTCCAGTAGGCCCAGACCAGACCTGCTCCCCAACCCCCAGCCTCTGTGACTCAGCCCACTCTTCAAGGCTCCACGTGACATGCAGAGGACAGGGCAAGGCATGGCCCAGCTGGTGCTGAACACGCCAGCCTCCAATCTGAACTCCCTCCTGACATCTGTGAAAGTAACACCATGTGTCAACACCCACTCCACTCCCTGCCAGAGAAAAGTGGTGCAAACAGCAGACTTCATCTGCACACACAGCATGTCTCAGGGAAAGAAGCTCACAGGCAAGAGACCTTCCCCAGCTGCAGCTGAGAAAGGAAAAGTGCAAGGGAGGGAAGCTGGGGGCTGCAGGCCTTCCAGCCCCAAGTCCAAGATGGAGAGCAGGAGGGGTGGCCCACCCAGGAAGGCCTGGGATGAAGGGGAAGCCAGACCCTCCCTTCTGCCCCAGACTTCATCAGAGTGTCGGAGGCCTGGTGGGGTGGAGGCCTTATCCACAGCTCGCCTGCCTCAGCCCTGGGCCTCCTGTGTCCAAGGTGTGGGGGAGGCCATGGCCCCCACCTCCCAAAGACTACTTCCCAATTGCCACCTGAGATGGAGGCCCCAAGGCCTGGAAAGAGGAGAAGGGAGCAGAGGTCTCTCAGCAGAACTCTAAGTACATCTGTTATCAACCAGGGGCTGGGAGACTCCGAGACAAAATGAATAGAAGGTCCAACCTATGGCAGCCAATGGGTTTGAGCTCCAGCCCACGCTCAACAGGAAACCTACAGCTGCTTTGCAGTGCCCAGCCTGTCTTAGCCCTCCAGGAGTGGTCTTCCCAAGCAGATCCTGGCCTGGAGGAAGGTCAGGTGGCAGCAGGCATCTCCCTACCTTGTTCCCTGGGGATCGAAGCAAGATAAAACGGTGTTTCCGCTTGAGGAGCGCTCGAAGGTCCTGGCACTTCTCATAACTGCCCAGCTCCACTGTCTCCACACACTTCTGCTCGTCCTGGGGAGGGAAACAGTGGGGACCTAAGCTGGTGAGAGCCAGATCCACTAATACCCTCAACCACCCAGGCCGTGCCGCCGACCCAGATCCCACTCAGTGAGGACATCACTGGGTCAGAGGGAAGACCTCAGGCTGCCAGTCAATCACCAAGAGGATGTATCAGACCCTGGCAGGTAGATGATGCTCAGTGCATGCTGGCTGGAGAAATGACTTCAGGGCTTACCAGCCAAATGAGAAATGCGCATATAGCCCGAGAGGTGGGTTTGTGCCTAAGGGCTGAGTACAGTGTGCATAAGGCCAGAGGAAACAGAGGAGAAGGTGAAGAGACTCAGAAAAGTGTGCCTGGGGTTCTGTGAAGGCCCATAGGCCAGACAGAGACTTGTGAAAGAGGTAGCCTAGAAGAGGGATGCAGGATGTCACAAATGGCGGGGAGGAGTAGGGTAGGGATTTTCCAGGAAGAGCCAGAGGGAAGTGTGAACAAGGCCCATGAGGGGTTACATACCCCACCTTCAGCACAGAGTTGGCTCCCCCACTTGGAATCTTCCTCGGCTGAACCCTGGATTGGGAGAGTGGCCCCCTCACCCTAGGCTGTAAGCCATCAACAATGGAGAGGGCAAGGGCTCCTTCAAGAGCATCCTACCCCACCCCAGCCCCAGACTGCCACTCTGAGGCCTCATCATTAGAAGGGCCAGCGGCAGGGACAATGCCCAGCCTCTTCCAGCCATCCTTGGACACCAGCCAGGCTGCCTTCCTGACCGCCAGCCGTGACACTTGAGTGCTTTTTCCACTAGCTCTACCCATCAGGTGACTCTCCTGCAAGCTGCCTGGGACAAGCTCCTCCTCAACAGTGGTCAACTGGTCCCTCTTCCAGGTGAGACCCATTGGAACACCTTTGTCGCTGTGGCACACTCTCATCCTGGAGAGTCCAAAGAAGCCAAAGAAGACCATTTGGGGCATGGGAGGGTACCCTGGAGACCAGCCAGGAAACTCCTGCTGATGTCCAACAGCAAGAAACCTGACACTGAGCAAGCATTATTACAGCCCTGATTCTCCTGAGCCTCACAATAACCCTGAAAGTCTACAGCCTCAGTATCTGCTCATTTCGTAGATGGACAGAATGAGGCCTGGAGGTGAAGTGATATGCCCTAGGGGCACAGACCCAAATACAAGGAACAGGACCCAACTGAAACCCACATCTTCTGACTCCCAGGCCGGGCTCTTTCCAGCACACTGCCCTCCTAACCAGTACCTTATCAATAGGTTGCCCTACACCAGTGGTCCTCCAAGTGTGGCACCTGGGCTGGCAGCATCAGCACCACCTGAGAACTTGTTAGAAATGCAAATTCTCTAGGGTCAGCCCGTGGCTCACTCGGGAGAGTGTAGTGCTGATAACACCAAGGCCACGGGTTCGGATCCCATATAGGGATGGCCGGTTAGCTCACTGGGTGAGCTTGGTGCTGACAACACCAAGTCAAGGGTTAAGATCCCCTTACCGGTCATCTTTTAAAAAAAAAAAAAGAAATGCAAATTCTCGGGCCCCATCCCAACTGAATCATAAACTTAGGAAAACGGGCCTGGCAATATGAGTTTTAATTAGCCCTCCAGGTGCTCTGGGCCTTGGTGCTCTCCCTCCTCTGAGGTCATCTCTTACTATTGGGGGCATGCAAACATCTACAAGCACCTGCCAGGTGCAGGCACCCAACTAGGTGCTAAGGGCCAGAGCCCAGCCATGGGGAAGCACAGTCCTAACTCCCTGCTTTGCCATCTCTCTCTACCCCATTCTCTGTGGGTCTGCTCTCCTTTCTGTTCCCCCCACAATCCCTTACAAGAAGCAGCCCTCAAGAGGGACATACACAGGACCGGTTTGGTGGAACGAGTGCCAGACCCAGAGTGAGATCTCAGGAAGTCTCCTCCTGCCTGGGCATCCAGAGGAGGGAAGCTGTCTGGGGAAGAAGCTCTACTCCAGAAAGAGCAGCTCACCTGCCCTGTGTCTATAGGCCTCCCCCAACTGGACAACCACTGGTCTGAATGCAACCTCCTCTGCCTGGGTCCATCTCTACCACCCAGCTCCCCACAGCTGTCTGTCCTGGATCTCCTCTCCTCCCGAAACGCTGAATCATCCCAGCGCTTCTGCAGCTCAGATAAACCAGCAGGCACTGGGCGGGAGCAGCATCTTTGGAATGTCAGCCTTTCTGACAGTGAACAGCCAAGAGCCATTCGCACTTGCCTAGTTCCTTACATCAGAAAGAGGAATTGAGCAAATAAGCATTTCTCAATTCCTATCCCTGGACCAAGCTCCCCCACCCCAAGTGCTAAGTTCTTGAAATTACATTTAGGTTTTTAACAGTGACTTTTTTTAAAAGAGTGTGATTTGGGTTTTTCACGTTGGGGGGATGAGAAATCCTTCCTATTTTCCAGCCGTGGCCAGATGTGGACAGGCAATCCAGGACAAGTCTGTCAGCGCCTGACGGGCAGGCAACTGAGAGCCTGTCACTCAACTCTTGTGGCAGCTGGCACTGGAGGAAGCTGTGACAACCCCCTTATTTATAAAAACATCCCCCTGCTGCCATATTCCCAACTATGACACATCCTAATTTGGTGTGAGCAGAGTACAGAACATCTGAGGGGCTGTCTCTTCTGACATTCTCATCCTCTTGCCCTCTTCCCACTGCTGCTCTGACACCCCCAACTCATGAGCCTGGGGACTCAGGCAGGACAGGCAAGGTGCTTCTCAAAGGCAGCTCCTTTAAACACTTAGATCCAGGTTGCCCAATCTTTCTTGGCCTGGAACAAATATGAATTGGCCAAGCTACCCTGAGGCAGGCTGAGAGAGGATGGTGAGGAAGAGAGGAAGGTCGCTCCTCCTTCTGCCCCCGGGCCAGTTCTTCCCTGTGTGTGAGCCGTCTTCAAAAAGTTCATGGAAAGATTCCCATTACCTTTTTCTTTTTCGGTGGCTGGCCGTCCCTTGACCTTGGTGTTACAACAGCGTACTCTAACCAACTGAGCTAACCGGACAGCCAGCATTGTCTTTTAATTCCATTTTTCCATGAACTTTTTTTTTCTTTTTTTTGATAGCTGGCCGGTAGGAGGATCCCAACCCTTGACCTTGGTGTTACAACAGCATACTCTAACCAACTGAGCTAACCTGCCAGCCCTCCATGAACTTCTTAAAGTATCTTCGTATTTTTGTAAAGTACCTTTATATTTCATCTGCCAAAGGCATATAGTGACACCCCATTTTCAGTGGATGGCCCCTCAGACAGCCTCAACCCCTGAACACAAACAGTATCATCTACAAGGAAAAACCACCTCTCCTCCTCTCTCCAAGAGCTTTATTGACTCTCAGCAAATTCACACAATTTTAGCATCCCTGGTTGTCAAAATCCCAAACCTACTGAAACTAGGTGTGAGAACTGTTGGAGGCACAAGGACCACAGAAATGGCAACTGACAGCTTGATGTTAAAGGAGAAAGAAAAGCTGAAAAGTACAGTCTGGCAGTACAGGAACAGTCTGATAAGGGACTCCGAACCATCAGGGAAAGATTCAATTTAGGCTGGCACCCACTGTTGAAGGAGGCAGAGAATTTTTAACATATTTTAGAGAATTTCCCTCAAAAATAAGATTTGGAGTTTACTTGCTGGTGTCTCTTTGTGGAAAGAGCACTGGATTTAGCTCTAGATCTGACTCTGTATGTAAACACTCACTGTGAGATGGTAAACAGTTATTTTGCCACCCTGAGTCTCACTACCCTCTCCTGTAAAATGGAGCATGATGACCACTCTTATGGAGTAATTGTGAATGTCATAAGAGGTACATAAGAGCTCCAAAAAGTATAAGTGCCAATTACTATTTCTACTACTACTGCTGAATGGAGCAGGCTTCAGTTTTCTACAACATTCACGTATATGGAACCTTGCCCAGGGACAGGAAGTTATGGTGTATGGGTGTAAAGTTGAGGAGACTTGCACAATAGATGTACATTTGGCTCAAAAAGCCTCTCATCCAGGAACCCTAGATTTGCCTGTAGAGGTATCTCCCCCATACTGCAAACAGACACCTAGAGATTAGGCAACCAAGGCTGCACAGCGTGTCAAAAGTGGAGCAGGTCTTCCAGCCCCAGTCCTGGAGTCCTCCTGCTGGTCTGAGCTGTCCTCACTTTGTGCCCTGCCCCAGAACCCCCAAACCCAGGGCCAAGCAGGTCCTCACCTCGTTCTCGTAGACCAGCAGCTGGGCCTGGCAGAGGAGCAGATAGCGGTCTTTCCAGAAACCCAGGAGGCCCCCGCTGCTCTTCTTGATCCAGCCAGCCTTGTCCGCTGTCCGTGCTCCCTGAGGCTTCTCACTGCCCTCCTTCACACCCTGTAAGAGAGCAGCAGGACATGTCATGAGGGCTGCTACCATGGGGCCACACAGTCCACAGGCCACATAAGAGATGGGTACCTAATGACATCATCCTATGGGAGTTTCCCCCCAACCCCCAAGGCAGATATTCCTAATTCAGTATCAGAAATAATAATAGTAGTAATAGCAACAGCCTCCTTATATGGAGCCACTGTATTATGTTTTACGCACATAGTCGTCTCATTTAACTCTTACAGCTATCCTCCAAGGGGGCAGCATCACTATCCATGTCACAGTAAACTAAAGCTCACAGACGACTTGCTAGAGTCACTCAGCTAGAGAGAGCCAGAACTCAAAGCAGATCTCTCTGACCCCATGCTCTTCCGACTCCACAGTTTGCCTCCATGTGTTTATCCAACCAGTCAACTAATGTTGTCCTGAGTGCTTAGGTCATAGAGGAGTGGAAGTAACGCAGACTCCACCCACATAGAGTCACGGTGTGGGGGAGGAGCTGAACAAATCAATACCCAGACATAAACACAATAACCAGTGGGAATGCTACGAAGGAAAGAACAGGGGGCAACGAGAAGACGGTGGGGGACCTGGTCCAGGTTGGGGTGGCCCAGAAAGGCCTCCCAGAAGAGAGGACACTTAAGCAGAATCAGCAGGATGGCAGGAGTCAGGCAGGCTGAATGTCAATCTGTCTCTACCCCCACCCTACAGAACCCACTCTGCAACCCATGCTTCCTGTCCCAGAGCAGGTGGCTCTTGTGTCCTTATCACCACAGTGGGCAGTACTTCAGGGCGGCCACCCCTCTGGTGAGGGTTCCAGGGACTCTGTCTCCAACCACAGCCTGGTACAGGAGTTAAATTTGAGCCCTTCTCCTGAACCCACCTGGAGCCTCGAGGACAGCCACTGACATCTTGTGCCCCATCAATGACCTGCTTGGTTGGCTGGGCACCAGGTACATGCCTACCAGCTGGGATTGGGTTCACCTCTGGGTCCCCAGCACCCAGCTCTGTTCTTTTACTCATAATGGGTGCTCAAGAAATATCTGTAAAATGAAAATAAAAATACACCCAATTTGCTAACCACTTTGCTTCAGTGACTGGTACCCAGAGTAGTGAGTGTGAAGGGGAGTGTGGAAGAAAGGGAGTCAAGAGCATGTCAGAATCTAGAGGATGCTAGAAGGAAATTAGTAGTGACTAATTTTGACTAACTTAAAATCTACATAAAATTCAAAAAAGGGGCACGCCTCTCCCCAGGGATCCCCTGTGGCCACAGCTGCCTTTAGAAGGACAAGCCCAGACAGGTTACAAGGGTGGTGAGCTATCAGGAGCTGGGCAGGGCTGACTCCCCTGCTCTCTATCACAGCAGGGGAGCACCAGTCTGATTCTCACTGTGCCCCACCCTGCCTTGAATTGCACACTCTGGTGGAAGGGAGTCTGGACTTGGGAGCCCAAGTCATGCAGACCAGAGGCAAACCACTTAACCTGTCTAAGCCTCAGTTTCTTCATCTGTAAAATCGAGACATTAACAGTAGAAATTGTAAGGAGTATAATTCCATGAGGACAGGTAATTTTGTTTTGTTTACTGCTGTATCCCCAGTGCCTAGACAGTAGCTGGCACACAATAAGTGCTCAATAAATGTTTGTTGCTGAATAAAGAAAAGGCATATAAAGCAGCTGCTAGGATACTCTAAACTTAGTAAATGGTAGCTGTCATCATTGTTACTGTTGTTGTCACTGCCACCTCTGGTTCTCAGTGACCCTCTCCCTGGGCCTGGTTCCCAATTCAAGAAAAGGCCTTTCTGGACTACAGCTGTTGGCCTCAGATCTCTAGGAGCTCCAGCAATATGGAGTGCCCCCTCAGGGTCTCTCCCTAACTTACAGATGGCAAAAGAAATGGGGAAGTGGGATGGTCCCAATGGTCTTCCCGGATGCAGGAATGAGGAAGTGGGAAGCTTGCCTACACACCAGTTATGAGCCACCCTATCCAAGGGAAGAGGGGCTTCAGAGCCCTTTGACAAGAATAAGGAGGCTTTTCCTTCCTATCATGCACCCAACTTCCCCTCCTTACATCACTACTGAGGCCCTGTGTTCAGCCCCCATGAGCTATGTGACCCCCAGGGGTCTAATCCTCTTAGTGACCCCTGCAGGCTATCAACAGGCCCAGGGCTGGAAGAGAAGAACTGGGAAACCCCACCCCCACATTTCACACACTCACACTTCTCTACCAGCAGCTACAGCACTGCTGGCGACCTCCTAGGCCCTCCGTGCCCTGGATGGGCAGACTCTTCGTCTCTCTTCAACAATGCGGTGGGGACTGTGGAGTGTGAAGCTGCTGCCGATCTCCCACTTCAGAGCTCCAAGCTCACCTCCTGCTTTGCACGGGGCCCACTCACCATCCTGTGGGATCTCACACCCTTTTCTAAACTCCTTCCATTTGTGACCTCCCCTGCCTGCCTCATACACTGTCTGATCCATGAAAACTTCCTACCAGCTGGAAACTCCCTGGGGGCAAGGCTGGCACCTTGTGCCTTGATCACCATCACCTCTGGGCTAGGTATAGCACACCAGTGCCCAACAAATACCATGACTGGATTTGCTAGAGAAGCAAGACCAGGGCCTTCAAGGATGGATGCGACCAGGGTGGGACTAGGCAGGATGGCACTTTGGAATGGAGGAGAGGACTACTGAGGGGCTGCTTTTGGTGTAAACCAAAGCCCAGCCAGGGCAAGAGCCACCCAGGGGAGGCATGGCTAGAGGCCAGAGTCCTATTTGCCTCCACCCTCCACCCAGCCCCCTTCCCTGCCCCTCAGACCCCCTCACACCAGGGGGCCTGGCTATGCTCCAGTAAGTTTTAATAAGGGGCCCCTCCCCTTGGCAAGGTTCACAGGAGGGGTTTTGTCCTACTCAGCCCAGTTTTCTGGCCTTCCCTCCTCACTGACCAGCTGACCACTGTTCTGTTTGCCCTTTCCCTTCTCATCATCCTCACCTAGGCCCTCTCCTGCCACTGTGAGCAGCACCTGAGGCACCTCTGGCACCAGCCTGACTCCCCTTTGCCTAACACGGGAGGGTGTCTGGGTTGTTCATTAAAAAAAAAAAAAAGCCAGGTCACCCCAACCCTGTACATAGAAAAGGGAAAACCACCACGTAGGTTATGACAGAGAGACCAGCAGAAGAAACCTTGCTGGCACCTCATATCACAAGCAGCTTATGACAACCTTTGCCTTGTGATTAAATCCAATGATGTTCTGACCAAACTCTACTAAGAACCCACCATGTCAGAGCCCTGTGACAGGGCATTCAGAGAGATTCAGAGGCACAGGCTCGGCCCTGAGGGAACGTCCAGTCTGATGGGGTAACACAGACCCTGGATAAGGGAAGTCGCCAGTATGGAGGGTGGGTGGGCATCCCTTGCTTGAGAGGGCTAAGACATAGCACTTACTCAAAGCTATCCCCCAGTCCTAGCTCTCTGGTGGGGTAAGGGACGAGGGTTACTTTGGGAAGCTCTTGCAGAAGGCAGGGTTTGGGTAGGGCACTGAGAATGAGAAGAGACACACACCATGGCAGTGCAGTTCAGAGAGGGCAAGAGATCAGCCCAACATCACAAAACCAGTACTGGGACAGGACCCTGCCCTGCCTGTCTCTAGATGGGTGAGGGCAGGTGGGCAACCTGGAGCCAATGGAGGCTGAGCCAGGGGAAGGCATACTGCTGGAGGGCAGGGGGGAAGAGCCCCAAGGCAGAGACAGGAAAGCCTGGGTCCAGGGTTCCAAACTTTACCCCCAGAGGCAGCAACAATACCTCATTGATATCTGCAGTTTTCAAAGTTTTTGCACATACATTTCTGGGTCACTCACCGCTCTCATTTCACAGATAGGGAAACTGAGACCCAAAGAAGACATGTGGGCAGATGTCCAATGCCCAGACCAGCACTTCTTCACCAAGCCCCAGCCTGTCAGAGACTACCAACCCACTACACAGAGGAGATTACTGAGGCTGAGGGTGCTTGGTTCCAGGGTGGCTGGGGCACAGAGGACACTCAAAGCTAGCCGAAGGGCTAAAAACCATGTGGAAGTGAAGTGATAATATGATCTGGGGTCATGGGGCACAGCAGGTGACTGTGATCTAAGAGGTGTTTTAGAGAAACAAAGACTGGCACTGGGGCCTAGAGAAACAAAAGGAAGCTACTGGGAGAAGTGGGAGGAAAGGAGAGTTAGGGATGCCAAAGGGGAGGGAGGGGATAGGGAGCCCTTGGCTGTGTGGGTGAGGCTTGTAGTGGGTGAGGCTAGAGAGAGACAGAAGAGAGTAAAGTAGGCAAGACTTTAGACAGCCCAGGTATTCAGAGAACTTTTGGCATCTGGGAGTCAGAAAGCAGCACTGTTAGAGATTCAGGACCAGAGGGAGCACAGGGCTGGGCTGGGCCCAGGAGGCCCCAGGAGAACTTCCCTTAATCGGGGGCCAGAGCAAGATCAGGCGATGGAGTAATCCCGACCCACAACCTCTGGGAGCAAGGGAGAGGCCACCGCCTGAGAGCCCAGCCCTGGCAGTAGGGGCCTGGGGCAAACAGCAGCCCCACCTTTGACAGCAAGAAAGAAATCACAGCAAATCACAGTGTCCTGATTTTGTCCCCAACCTCCACCTACTCTGAGAGAAGGGGCCACAATCATACTGTCAGGTCTGGGGGAGGAGACCAGACCCTATATTTCACAGAAGAGGAAACAGAGGCTGTGAGGGGAAGTGACTTATCTACCATCCCACAGAAATACAGGGCCTGGCCTGAAAGGAACCCTGACAAACAGTCTAGCTGCTCCTGGACAGTGGCTGCTGTAAGTAGAGACATGGGCACTGAGAGGGTCGCAGGCAGCCTTGTCTACCCAGGACTCCCCAGATGGCCAATTGCCCCAAGAAAGAGAGCTTCCCCTTTCCTCTCCACCCACGCAGGCAAAGACACATCCCCTTCCCTTGGACTGGGAGGGGCAGAAACTGGAACCCTCTCAGGGGATAAGAAGATAGACCTAGCAGTCCCCTCCTAACTTATTCATTCCACAGGCATACATCAAGCACTTGCTGTGTGCTGGACTCCTGGATGGGGCTGCTGGAAGAACTAAGTTTGCAAGCAAAGGGCACAGGCCAGAATGCCTGACCCCACCTCAGACCAAGAGTGTCCTGAGGATGTAAAGGGAGACTTAAGGGGCACTGCTGGTCCAGCCCTCAGCTCCTCCGGGAGTTATCCCTCCCAAGGATATGGGCAAGGCAGGAGCCTGATCCTTGGGCTACAGTGGCCTCAGACAGATGTGGCGTAGGAGAGAGAACAGGGAGAAAGGCAACTCACGAGGACTTATACAAGGGAGAAAAAAGCAACTTCTCCAGTCCTCCTGCCACCAAAGCACGGTCACATTCCTTGAGACAGGGATCCCAAAACCTACACACCACCGCCCCCGACAAACACGCACACAGGCTGCCCCCTTAGGATCCAACCTGGCTAGCAAGGAAAACTAACGGTAACCGGGGTTCGAGCCCAGCAACCCAGGCCACTTTCAGCAAGTCATCAAACTCGCCAGAGCCTCAGTCTCCCTGTCTATCCAATGGGAACAATAACAGCC